AGATATCAATCCGCCGCTGTATCTACTGTACTCTCCAGTGCAAATAGTTCAGTGACAGTCTGACTGGAATCAGAGAAAGGTAGGCAGGCAGACAGGGAGATGTGCACTGTGGCAGGGCAGGAGACACTGATGGATATTATGTATTCCAAGCCCACATAATATCCATCACTGTCTCCTGTCAGAATGTATGTTCATTAAATACACAATGAATGTTATTACACAGACTGGGCTCAGAATACATAATGTCCATCAGTGTCCCGTCATATTGTTCTCTGTTAGTGCAGAAGCTGTGGGGGGGCTCCGCTGCAATTTTTTTTTACCTGCAGCAGAGCCAATGCTAATGCACCCCAGCCCTCCCCCAGCTTCTGCACTGACAGGGAACATTATGACAGGGGACACCGATGGTCATTATTTAATTAAAAAAATTAAAATAAATATTTAAAAAATGTGAAAGTTTATAAAAAATAAATAAAAATAAAATACTGTAAAAAAAATTAAAATAAAAACATTTTTGGTTTCGGCCTGACATTTTTTTTAAATTTCGATTCGGTTTTGAAATTTGCATTTCGGTGCACCTCTAGTACTTACTGTACGTTTTCACATGACTGTATAGCAGAACACATGTAAAACAACAGTTTACATTCATCTTGAATAACACTGACCCAAAGCCATTATAGCTTGCCTTTAAAGTAGACCTAACCCTAAAAGTTGACTTTAGGTCTGCCAATCTCTTGCTTTCATAAAAAATAAATTTTGACCCCCAAATACTTAAATAGAATGCTGTACCCTGGAATCCGATAAGTCTCAGCCTCACTGCCACCAGTTGGCTGGGACACAGGGTGGGTTCTGTATGAAGCACAGTTTGGTGACTGGCTACAAGGGCTGTTGCACATAATCAAAACCTCATATGGAGCTTAGCTCCAATGGAGAGGTGGAAGTGTTAGTGGTCTCCACTTTGAGGCCACACAGCTTCCACCCAAAATCTCCAGAGGGACCAGCACAGGACTTTCTAATGAAGTGAATGGAGACCATGGAGCGTATGCATGAGTGCCACTTAAGAAATGTTAGTGTCCTTTAATGTAAGTGCTTGGGGAGAGGGGCAGAAAAGGATAAAGATAAAAATATAGACACAGAGACTCCAATAGCAAATCAATTATGTCTATTTATTGAGCAGCATAGCATGATACACTCAGTGCAACGTTTCGGGGTCTCACTGGATCCCCTCCATCAGGCAGAACAAGTCATGCAGATGCAAGTGAAAACACATGACTATATACACAACATAATGTGTGCCGCAGCACCCACTTTACTAGTTTGGAACAGCGGTTCCAAGTGCGATGGGTTTATGGACTGTATCCAGAAAAGCCCATTAAACATGCCTTTAAGGGCCTGAGTAGGCTTTTCCCGCAGAAAGAGAATATCCCTTTAATTTCATTACTAAACGCTTGCAGAGCATGTTAGTCAGGACAATAGCCTTCCACATCCTGCTGAAGAGTGTTTACACGGACAGACACACCCATCACATTACAAGCTGGAGAGGACTACTGCCAACTCCAACTATAAACACATAGACATATCAAATTAACATAGCAGATTACTGAATGTAAGTTTGATGACTCCTGAATATGAAAGTTGTTCCATAGACAACTAAAACCGTAAACACTGTGCGAGTGATTCACTAAGCGCAAACACGCTGTTCACTTTGCATGGGAATTTTTAATTTGCAAGGAAATTTCCCTTGGCTTAGTGAATGAGGTGAAGCTCTGCTGACTTCCATCATACAATCATGTGCAAGCAGGAACACAGTTTTCTTTTTTTTCCTTGCACATGATTGAGTATTCTTTGCAAAGTGAATTTTTGCCACATGCAATCAGCTATTTCCTTGCAAAGCAATATCTCCTGTGCAAAGCAAGTGACCTATTTGACTTTAGTAAATCAGCCCCTAGTGCAGGAATTGGGGATGATCTGAGGTCTGAAGGTGCAGGAATTGGGGATGATGATGAGATCCGAAGGTGCAGCAATTGGGGATGATTTGGGGTTTGATAATGCAGGAATTGGGGCATATCAGAGGAGTAAAGATGCAGGAATTGGGGCTGATCAGAGATCTGAAGGTACGGGAATTGGGGATGATTTGGGGTTTGATAATGCAGGAACTGGGGCTGATCTGAGGTGTAAAGATGCAGGAACTGGGGCTGATCTGAGGTGTAAAGGTGCAGGAACTGGGGCTGATCTGAGGGGTAAAGGTGCAGGAACTGGGGCTGATCTGAGGTGTAAAGGTGCAGGAACTGGGGCTGATCTGAGGGGTAAAGGTGCAGGAACTGGGGCTGATCTGAGGTGTAAAGGTGCAGGAACTGGGGCTGATCTGAGGTGTAAAGATGCAAGAACTGGGGCTGATCTGAAGTCTGAATGTGCAGCAATTGGAATGATCTGAGGTCTGATGATGCATGAATTAGGGCTGATTTGAGGTCTGAATATGTAAGATCTGAGGTCTGAATATGTAAGATCTGAGGTGTGAATGTATAGGAATTGGAATCATATCAGGTCTGATGATGCAGGAATTGGGTCTGGTCTGAGGTGTGAAGGTGCAGGAATTGGAATGATCTGGGGTCTGAAGGTTCAGGAATTGGAATGATCCGAGGTCTGAAAATGCAGGAATTGGGTCTGGCCTGAGGTGCGAAGGTGCAGGAATTGGGTCTGGTCTGAGGTGCAGGAATTGGGTCTGGTCTGAGGTGCAGGAATTGGAATGATCTGGGGTCTGAGGGTTCAGGAATTAGGACTGATTTGAGGTGTGAAGGTTCAGAAATTGGAATGATCTGAGCTTTGAAGGTGCAATCATTTGGGCTGATGTGAGGTCTAATGATGCAGGAATAGGAATGATCTGAGTTTTGAAGGTGCAATTATTGGGGATGATCTGAGGTCAGCAGCGCCCTATTGTTTACTGGCACGATGGTTGTTTAATTCTTGTACATTTCCTAAGCACCTAAGCTGCCTATGAACAGCCCTTTCAGCTTCTGGGGAAAAGAAACAGTTAATAGGTTATATTTATAGATTTAAAAAAAACCTGCGCCACTAAAATTTATTTTTCAGAGCCGTCCAATGCTGACCCTGAAACTGCCAAACAGAAATCAGGACCAAGCATATAGACTCAATTCTGGACATTTTAGACTCAGTGCCAGGATTTCATTTCAGTGGCATGACCTGTGACTAATCATTGCGGCATTCCGAAAACATCTACCATGGAAATGAAAGTGTATTATGTATAGTTAGGGCAGGCTGATGTAATACTAAGCAAAACATGACTCGGCTAACAAACATAACTCCGGTTTCATTTTTTTCTCCCTGGTCCATCTCCAAATGTTCTGTGAACATAAATTACTGGCTGGTTTATAAGGGTACTCTACTTATTATAGAATGGTGGGGTTTGACAACAGTGGCGGGGGGGGGGGTTTACTCCATTACAGAATGGTGAGGGCTGACAAGCCAAGTATGAATTTAAAGCTTGGCACACCCTGATGGGTGCTGTACAGTCTTACAATGAATAGGTGAAAACAAGAAGGCAGGTGAGATGACTTCACGCATGGAAACACAAACGGCTCACACCAGGAAGTTGCAGAATGCAAACAGGATACAGATCAGCACACCAGAGCGATGTGTCCTCACTTCTTTCAGGGAACAATAAGCGGCAAGGTAATGCTTAAGGTAAGCCAGGCCAATGAAAACTGTATAAGAAGAAATGGACTGATCTATTGAAGTGACTAGTGGAATACACTTTCTTCCAGCCACAGATCCTCATTAAAGCCGAACTCCATTCACAAAGCTAAATGCACGAGCTAAATACAGATATGGAACTGATTTACCTGTCAAAGGATTTCTATTCCTGTCCATCCACCCCTAAGATAAACACAATCCTGCCAGATAGTGCAGCATGATGGTGACCTGAATGTTCTCTACTGTAATTAAGCAAACCAGCCTGTGGTTGCAATGCTATGCACGCTTCAATACAAAAAGTTTACAAATGTAAATTTTTTTTATTTTCCTAATGTGGGTGCATTTATTGGATTTTTGCAAAAGGTGGACTATTCCTACTATGCCTTTAAACTAGCTGAATTTGAAAATAATTGTATTGATTTTTTTTTTTAACGACTATATAACTGCATTTTTTAAATCACTTGTACATGAGGGATTGTGGTAGCGATTACTATGTCAGTATAATAATATATTCAAGCACCTGTGTCTCCAATAGACTATTTGAAAAAGACTTTGGTTCCCTCGATTGTAAGGAGATCCCATCCCGGTGCTTAATTATATCAAACAGAGGATATATCAACCCAATTAAATACCAATTTGACTTTAATCCCATATGAAAATATACTATAGCACACAAAATAAACACTGTAAATAGACAAAAAGAGAAAACAAACATTAACTCTTTGTTTTCTCTTTTTGTCTATTTACAGTGTTTATTTTGTGTGCTATAGTATATTTTCATATGGGTTTAAAGTCAAATTGGTATTAAACTGGATTGATATATCCTCTGTTTGATATAATTAAGCACTGGGATGGGATCTCCTTACAATCAAGGGAACCAACGGTTTTTTCAAATAATTTTTTTTATCACCCCGGAGTTCAGCTTTAAAGAACTACGGGCAAAAATATCCTTAATCCTTGCCGTGGGGGTAACCCCGACTCCAGTGATGGTATGGCCCTTGGTATCCTTACGTCCTATAATGTGTATAGAACATGTATAGGACCTTAGGCTGCTGGAGGGAGAGAAGGCAGCAGGTCAAACAGCCAGCCAGCGGCAAGGTTCATGTGAGTATAACTTTTTTTTTATTTTCGTCCCTAGACCAAAACGAGCACTTAACCATTGCAGTGCTGGGGTAGCGCCACTACAAGGGTTAAGAATAATTCTGCTCAGAGTTCTAAATGGAAGGACCACAATTTTCATAAACCACAGTCGGCTCCTCATTTTATGCAGCACATTCAGCAGAACTTCCTACCTTATTGAGTTTTCCAAGCGATGAGATGAGATCGGCCCATTCTGTAGAGGACTCGAAGTTCCTCAGAGCCTTCTCAATGACTGAGGAGTAATTTCTATATCTGTAATCCCCCAGCAGCTCCTGCTCTTCTGGGTCCATCTTTCATCCTTGCTGGAAGATGCGCTGCAAACAAAACAGAGGGTAACATTGGTCTAGGGGTATAACATTCAGCAAAGATGAAGAAATGGGACTTTCATGGTACCAAAATTCAGATATAAAAAGAAAAAGCCCTCAAACGTATATCTCTTTACAATCATTTAGATATTTTATTACAAGGAATTCCTAAAAGAGCATCAAAAGCATCAAGCTTTGAGACAAAGCTGAGAAAAAGAGGATGCTTTATACAACATCAGCCCACCTATATGCAAGGTGAATATTGTTCCCATGGCATTTCTGCCCCTAGATGCTCCTCGGCTCCATCTAGTGGTGGGAATGCCATGGTAATGGCATTTGCCCAGCATATGGCTGGACAAATGACGTGTAAAAATGATCCCCTAAATTTGTCTGATACACTTTTTATTAATACCCCCCTTTGTGTATGGGCCATACATATAGTATACAATCCACATCATACAGCTCTGTCTCCTAAGAGATGGTTCCGGCCACTAGGTACTCTTCGTGTGGCCTTCAGATTGGCACAACAACAGTGCATAGAGAGATTCATGGAATGGGTTTCCATGGCCGAGCAGCTGCATCCAAGCCTTACATCACCAAGTGCAATGCAAAGCATCGGATGCCGTGGTGTAAAGCACGCCGCCACTGGAGTGACCAATCACGCTTCTCTGTCTGACAATCCGATGGACGTGTCTGGGTTTGGCGGTTGCCAGGAGAACGGTACTTGCCTGACTGCATTGTGCCAAGAGTAAAGTTTGGTGGAGGGGAGGATTATGGTGTGGGGTTGTTTTTCAGGGGTTGGGCTTGGCTCCTTATTTCCACTGAAGGGAACTCTTAAGGCATCAGCATACAAGACATTTTGATCAATTTCATGCTCCCAACTTTGTGGGAACAGTTTGGGGGTGGCCCCTTCCTGTTCTAACATGACTGCGCACCAGTGCACAAAGTAAGGTCCATAAAGACATGGATGAGCGAGTTTGGGGTTGAGGAACTTGACTGGCCTGCACAGAGTCCTGACCTCAACCCGATAGAGCACCTTTGGGATGAATTAGAGCGGAGACTGCGAGCCCGGCCTTCTCCTCCAACATCAGTACCTGACCTCCCAAATGCGCTTCTGGAAGAATGCCCAGAGATACACCCCTAAACCTTGTGGACGCCTTCCCAGAAGAGTTGAAGCTGTTATAGGTGCAAAGGGCGGGCCAACTCAATATTGAGCCCTACGGACAAAGACTGGGATGCCATTAAAGTTCATGTGCGTGTAAAGGCCGGCATCCCAATACTTTTGGCAATATAGTGTAACTCAAATCTAACGCGCCGTAGTGCAAGATGAAAAGTGGACCTCTTCACACCATATGAAAACATTTAACAATGCAGTTCAGAACTGATCAGCAGGATATTAGTGGAACACAAAGATGGCAGTCTGTGCCAAAAGTTGCTTCCTAGTCGGCCCTTTTTCTAGGATTATAATGGGCTTCGTGGATTGAATGGATGGAGAAATTCATCCCATTTGCAATGAGGTGTAATCCAGCTAATCGGATTATAAATAGCCTAGCTGTGTAACCTTCATTGAAGGGTAACGTGTGACTATCTGTAATTAGCGGGATTTTCTACTGTACCCGCAGACTTATTCGATTAATTCTTCAATGTGAATATGCAAAATGCAATTTATGGTGCTACAATCTCTCTGAAAGTTTCCCCTTCTCTCCTATCCTAGATTTTTAATTGGTATTAAACACTCAATCTTTTTCAATAATTAGTCCAGATCCAACAAGCATACATTGCCCAGCAAAGTATTTTCGTACATTTTCACCCAAGCACTTAGTCATCTTGTTCCAGCTCCAACTCTCTCAGCTCGGCTTCCCTGAACTTCCTGTCCAGTACAGGATGACAAGGGACAGATAAGTTTCTGACAGCTGTCCATCTACTAGCTTGGAGAAGGAAGGAGTGTGGGAAGCAGGGGCAAGGGAATTGACTTGCCTTGCAGTGCCTGTGTGTTTGTGAAGAGAAGCAAGTAAGTAAGTCGGATGTTTGTAACTCGGGGACTGCCTGTATATATATAGATTTACTTTCTTAAAATATATCTAAAGCCAAAACTTTTTTCTTTTTCATTTTGGCTATCGTAGGGGAGGGTATATGATTAGGAAGATTTCATTTTACTTCCTGTCCTGTAGACTCAACAGGAAGTGGGGGATAGCTTTCCATTGAGTCAATTGATAAATCAACTTTTATTGAAAGGAAGAAAGGAAGGGAGGGGGAGAGTCCAAACATCGCCTTTGCAAACTTGCTTGATCTGTCTATAGAGATATAAGAGGAGATTCAATGTGTTTATTGGCATACTTACTCTTTAAGATACACCTGTCATAAACCTTTCTCAACTGCATTGTGCGTGTTTCCACATTCTCCACATGCTGTCACAAGGAAGATCAAACATAGGGAGGAACGGGAATCAAATATTTGCCAATACTGGGACTTCCCTTCCATGTACAGCACACAGGTCCTCCTGTAGAGCCGCCCAGCTCTGACATGTCTGTACTGAGATGGATACCGTGACAAGAATGCATGCAATATTGGTATCTGGATTCACAAGACTCTTTTCATGGACTAAGAATCTAATTCTCCACGTCCTGCCACAGATCAGGGACACACTGAGGCTCAGTGAAAGGACATTCCTCCAACAGGATGTGATCAGCGACCAATAAGATCTATTCCTTCTCTGTGAAGAATGCTTACAGGTGGATATGTGACACAAAATAAGGGGCCCAAGTTAAAGAAGACCTGTCTCCTTTATGAAACAGACTCGACATGTTAATAAATGATGTCCTAATTTAAAGTCAAAAACACTTTGGAGTTGAGTGGGTAAGTGATAGAGCAGGGGTGGGCCACTCCGACCCTCCAACTGTGATATAGCTACAAATCCCAACATGCCTCTGAAAGTCATGACTATAACTGAAAGTCTTGCAATGCTTCCTGTAAAGAAATACTTTGTTGGGTAATCTATATTTCGCTTGATCTGGATTCATTATGGGAAAAAAAGGTTGAGAGTTTATTAGTACTTTTATATAAAAAAAAAAACTGAAACGCACTGAAAAAAAAACAAAAGTGCATTTTATCCCAATTTTGTTGACCAAATAAAAAGGACCTGTGCTAAACAAAGATGGTGTGAAAATCTTTATGATAAACAAAACAGAATTAATAGAAAATGTTTCCAATAATTCTATTCATACAAAACATTTTGTTAAACAAACAAACTGCATTTTTTAATTTTATTTTTTGCAATTTTAGCCATATCTCTGTTTATTGAAAAAATAAATAAAACATTTTTTTTTTTAAATGAGATAGAGATAGATATCTATATCGATATATCTCTATATCTATATCTATATATCTATCGATAGATATAGATATATATATATTTTTTTTTTATAAACAAATAACCAGCTGAATGTCTATTCATACAAACAATGTTAGGTGTTAAACCAATGCTGCATTTTTAAAAAATATATTTTTTTCAATTAAAAAAAATATATTGAAAGATTGTTTAAAAACAACCAAATGAAGGCCTTTAAACGTGCTAAAAAATGATGTGCAAATCATTCGGATATACAAAGCGGTAAAAAAAGGAGAAAAAAAAAAAGCTATTGTTCAGTAAACAGCATTCCAAAACTTAAAAATGTGGTCTAGTTGCAAGCTTTGGTTAGCCTGGGACATAAAAGGGTTAACCACCATTCCCTATTCACAACTATGTTTAGGTTAGGTCATGGGTAGGAAACTCTGGCCCACCAGCTGTGCTTTACCTACAAATCCTATCATGCTTCTGGGAGTCATGTCTGTGGTTGTCAGTCTTGCAATGCCTCATGGGACTTGTAGTTCCACAACAGCTGGAGGGGCCGGAGTTGCTCACCCATGGGTTAGGTTATGGGTAAGAAATGCATATTTATTTTATATATATTATTAATTAGGCATTGCTTTCATTTTTGCAAATGCAATTTTTTTAGTGCACCCCGGGGAATAGGAACAGCAGCTCCTGGGGGTGTAATAACAGAGATATAATAACCCAAACTGTGATCCTGGCTTTCTCCAAAACCGGTCCCTTCAGCCTCACTCCCCCTCTGCTCCGGTCTAAGGTGCCGCGAGTCATCACGTTTTATACATTGTATTGGACGTGAGGACGCTGAGGGACATGCCTCTGGAGCGGAGGAGGAGACAGGTTGAAGGGACCGGTCTAGGAACCAGGATAGCCCCACTTCAGGAGGTTCAGATTTTATTTCCCAGGAGTTCCTTTTTTTAATGCAACGCATTAATAACATTCTGAAAACGCATCATGTGCTTTGATTAAAACCCATGGGCGTTTTTTAATGCACGGGTGCGAGCAGGAGCAAAGACTGCAATAGTCTTTCCAGGCCATATCAGCGAAGATAAGGGGTCAGGCAGAGAATGGTACAGTTATTTGTCTTTGTAGAATAATTAACTGCTTATATTTAACAGAAATCCGCAATACTTCCTACAGATAACACAACGCCAGTTCTGTGTCCACCTCTTACAGCAATGACGTCAAGTCTGCTCCAAACAAGGCTTGTATTTCCCCTTTTGTAGCAGAATTGTGATAACACCAACTTTATATTTGTTACATGCTCCCATTCACATTGCAGAACTTCAAAAATACAGTGGTACCTCGGTTCACAAACTTAATTCGTTCCACGATTGTGGTCGCAAACCGAATCAAACTGTGATCAGACCGCGATCTCGACTAGAGGAAGCCACAACCATGTCTCAGAGCAGGAAGATGGCTGCGGTTGTGTTCGCCACCCGATGCGGAGTTCACGAACGGAAGCAAAATTTTGCCAAACTTCCCGCTCGAGAACCGAATTATTCGCGATCAGAAGCGTTCGTGAACCGAGGTACCACTGTACTTAAAAGTTTCTGCTTACCTTCCTGCTCACCTGATTAAAATGCTACTGAGATTTTCCCTTCTATGTAATGAAAAGGGGTGCGGGTGTGTCTGGAGAGTT